GCATGTTTGAGGAAATATTGTGACAACGCAGCTTTGGAAAAGGTCTATTAATGGAGTTGATCAAAATCCTCGTTTGCATGATTTGGTATCTTATTCTGTAGCAGACAGCGGTTATACGATCAATAATTGTTATTCGGATTTCTGAGTTAATTTTAGTAAGGTTGTGTTGGTCAAATATCGTTGGGCCCACTGGACTCCCCAACATATTCTCTGGTCGACATCGACTAGTATTGACCATCACACGAGGCTAATGAAACCGACAAGTGTATAGTTGCTGCTGGTATGGAGAGTTCCACTGTTGAGCTGATACTTCCAAAAAACCTACAGCACTACAGGTTTTACTCAGACTCGAAAGCCAATGCATCGGGAGCACTGCGCTCTTGACATTTGTGTTCGCGTGGGCTTTGTACCAAGGTTCTGAGACTTGAAAGATTCTCGAGAACAAAATTAGTAGCCGAGCTGGAGAGATCTTTTATTCGCTTGCCTTACTTTCTAGCCCTACTGACAAACAGCCCTAGGTTTCGTATACTTTACCGAGAAGCCCTACAATTTTCTCCTTTCTTGTTTCCCACCTGACGTCGCTCTGCTTTCTTATGCGTAGTATAAATGTTGATGTGTATGAAACGGCTGAGCCCTATCTATCCTTGTGCTCTAGTTTTCCAACAATATCGATCCGTTCTGAATCATCCGGAGGTAGATCCTATTCGCTGGTGAGTGTGTCAGTGGCAACTTCGCTCACTTCTGTATATTATCATCACCAACAAGACAACCAACCAGCTGTCCGCCTCACTGTCCTGACCACCAACTTTTGCATGTGGGTCTCCTAGAGCTCGCTCGATGGTGTCGTCCCACTACAATGTGGAATATCAACTCAACACGGAGGATATGTGTATTATGTAGGAGAATCGCTTACGATGTATTGGCAGTAAAATCACAGCTTAGCTGAGTAGTAGGACAGCTGAATAGTGGGAGAGCGCAAATGGGTCGGCCAATTGTGTTGATACTGCAAATGGTGTGCTGGTTTCAGCGGATCTTGATAATGAGTAGTTAGAATGTTGTAGTCACTCGAAGACACAAAAGATTGTCCTCCATACTATGGAGTCCATAGTTGTCTTATAATTGTGATGTAGCTGTGTATCTAGTGTCAAGCTAGTATGTTAGTCTGCTACGATTGAACTTCCCTAGACTTTTTGCTGTTATTAATCTTACGTTCTACGTGAGATCAGACGGTGTTTCGTTGACTCAAAGGATATTGGAAAACCGTCATAACGGTATCACATTTGAGAAAGCCTAGCCTAGCAAGAAAAGTGTCATCACAGCGTCGTCACAACGCCGTTGGCACTAACTGACTATGATCCCTCTCATGTATGGTATAAGTAAGTTGTATCGCACAAGCAGTAGTTGTTAATGACGACTTGTTATTGCACTATTCGTACATTATAAACTCGGTACGGCTACCCAAGTGTTGAGGGTCGATACGCCTTCCTTGTCTCCCATTGAGGGAACGCCACAACTAGAGGACTCATAGGAAGAGCTTATCTATCTATATGATCAATAGTAGGATCACTTGACGCTAGGCTAAGATATGCACCGCGACACGGAGCAATAGCCAAGGAGACAACTTACACAGAAACTGAACACAATACTTCATTATAGCATTCAAAGTGTTCCCTCTACAAAGTGTTTAAAACAATATTTTTCTATCACCAAAACTCGACTTTAAGATTGGGCTTACTAAGATTGTGCTGCTGCGTCGAATAGGCGGACGATTGAATATTACGGGGAACCCGCATCTTACGTCGAAGAATGATTCATCCGCAACAGAAAATACTCCTTGGATCATCCATAAATTCTTACGATATTGCAAATATCTATAATATTTATAATATCTGATATGGTTACTAGGCTTCTTTGCCATGCTGACAGTATGACGGGTGTTGTAAATCGGTAAAAACGTAAATCGGTATATCTAGTCTTGTGTGCATTGATGAACAATATATATCTCACATTCCCCAGGGCGTTTTGTGGAGGTGAATCGACTGGATTCAGCTGGTGTCAGTCAGATCGCGTACGGCTCTTTCTGCCGAGTTCATCCCACACATTGGGAGGGATTGAAAAGACGGAAATGAAGTGGTCGAGCTCGCGATATAAACGCGTTCTAACTGACGCGGCGTGAGGGTTGCGCAGGAGTTTGGGAGGTTGATAACTCTCCCGTTTCACCGTTTCATCTGCACGCGACCGTTTCATCTGCAGACGACCGTTTCATCGATTACGCCACTTTTGTACTAATCCACTTTTGTACCAAATCAAGTAGCGCTCGCCCCTATTTTAAAAACTTCCCTTCGGGAAGCGCTTCGCTCCGCGAACCACTTCTGTGCTAAAATCGTTCCTTTTGTGGAAAATTTGACCCAGTTGATTGAGCTTGTACCACTCTCAAACCACTTCTGAACCAAATAAAATAGCGCTCGCCTTAGAACAAAAATAGCAAATAGTTGATCGAATAGCTCTCCGTCAGGTCGAAAACAGAGTAGAAGTCCTGACTCGAGGAAGTACTAATCCTGATGACATCGTGGATATGTGGATGGCTATGCTCTGTCGGCAGGGTGGGGTTACACCTGCTCGAGGCGTATTGGTGGGAACAACTCACTTCGGCTTCTTGCGGGTCCCTGATAGCATCCTGAAAGGCCGTGAGCTCTATCTCCAATCCGTTCTGGATCCGACATGTGGACACTATGCCGCATCTGGCGTTGTGGATGGTCAGGTGAATTTTATGGACAGTATGAATATGTCGGTCCCGTCTTCGGGTTTTTTGTACAAGCCCTACGCCAGCTGTATGGTTCAAAACGTGTAC